ACCTAGTTTGGGAACATCCAGAGCAGGAGGTCTGCCTGTCTTCACAGGGAGAAGTTAGAGTGAGAAAGAGGGGGGTGTGAGTCCCCCAAACCACATGTGCCAATTGTGACACATAGAGGGACTTTTGACCAGAAAAGATAGGAGAGGGTTTTCCTCTCTCCCGGGCAAGGCAGACAAGACTCTTCAGCCCCTGGCCTTCAGGCCACACCAGGAAGTGGCCCTGGCCAGTTGTCATAAGTCGCCAGAGGGATACTAGAGTTTGTTTCCGTTGAAAACTGAAAAGGAAAGCAAACCCTGGTTGGGTGACAACTTCTCACCAGGACCTTCTGGTCCACTGGGGAGTGGCCCTGGCCAGGACCTTCAGTTGTCTCCAAACTTGGATGCTGTGCACCGAGATATTGGAGTTGGAGGAGAGGCAAGGGAGAGAGTAGTGGAGAGGTCCCCAAGCAATCCCCTTTTGGATCACCAAAATGTTGCGGGTAGTGACTAGCTAGGGCTGATGTCACTGGCAGCAAATGTGTTTCAAAGACAGTCATAGGAAAGAAGGCAGATTTATTAGAGAAGATATGAAAATATGTTGCAAGGTTGTAATGGGCAGCACAGCAGAGAAAGCGCTGTCTACAAAGAGGCAGGGGCTGAAGGGAAGTTTTATAGGGTGGTGCTGGAGGGGGCTACCTGTGAAAGAGGTCACTGTGCCCATAGAAGTCATTATGCCCTCAGGTTGTTTGATTAGCTCTGTCTCAGAACAGTCAAGTTCATTGTTCTTCCACACTTGGGCCCTCCCCGAACTGGGGCCCCTCCTCATTGTTACTTACTTATCAGGACTACACACATACTGTTCTCCATAGTGGCTGTGCTACTTTGCATTCCTACCAACAGTGTGTAAGAGTCCCCTTTTCTCTGCATCCTCACCAGCATTTGTGTGTGTGTGTGTTTGTCTTTTTGATAATAACCTTAACTGGAGTGAGATGATAACTCATTGTGGGTTTCATTTGCATTTCCATGATTATTGATATTGAGAATTTTTTTTCATATATATGTTGGCCATTTGTATGTCTTCTTTTGAGAAATGTCTGTTCAGACCATTTGCCCATTTTTAACTCCCCTACACTATTAGTAATAGAAAAGAAGATCCTGATAGTCATAACCCCCTAGAAAGACAGAAGGTATTTGCCAGAATTTATATTGTGAAAGAACCATGAGCTCAGGTCAAAATATGTGGCCAACAGATGAGGTAACTTACTATGGAGAATTATCTCAAAACATCTGCTGAGGAGATAAATTAGTATCTGGAAAGAGAAGGAAGCAGGGTAGAAGCTGAGAATTTCAATGGTGTCTCTTATCAAGGTGTTTAAGGTGCTTCTGAATATTTTTGCTGGATTTTTTTTAAAAATGGAGATTCATTTTATTTATCTATATATGAAATTGGAATTTTGTTATTCAGCTAAATGTGTATAAAAAATTCAGAATTTGTGTGTGTTGGTGAACATATAGAGAGGAATTTGCAAATATCTGTCAACTAACTAGGAAATTCAAACTCAGATAGTGTTCTTGGTAAATGTCCAAGGTGTTATGAACTCATTTGACAAGTAGTTACTGAGCATGTCCCTGTATCTCACACCACGCTGGCACTGGAAGGGTGGTGGCTCATGGGCATGGCTCTTGGCTTCATGGAGCTTATAGTTTGGGAGTGGAGGTAGAGAGCAGGTCTTAATTAAATGAGCACTCAAATAAATAGACATAGTGGCTCATACCCTAAAGGAAAGGTAGAGGTACTATTAAGACATGTGCCTGCTGGACATGGTAGCTTACGCCTGTAGTCCCAGCACATTGGTAGGCTGAGGTGGGCAGATCACCTGAGGTGGGGAGTTTGAGACCAGCATGGCCAGCATGGTGAAACCCTGTCTCTACTAAAAATACAAAGTTAGCCGGGCATGGTGGCACATGCCTGTAATCCCAGCTACCCAGGAGGCTGAGGCAGAAGAATCACTTGAACCTGGGAGGCGGAGGTTGCCGTGAGCCGAGACTGCGCCATTGCACTCCAGCCTAGGCAAAAAACTGAAACTCCATCTCAAAATAAAAAAAAAGACATGTGGCTTAGGGACCTGTCCTGGGATGAATGGTTGAAGAGAGGTTTCCTGAGGAGATGACATTTAACTTGAGATGTGAGCGATGAGCAGGTGTTAACTGGGTGAAGGCCTGAGCAAGGCGGATTGGAAGACCATTCAGTCAGGAGGAACAGATTAATCTTCTTTTGACAAATAAAGTTCAGAAAAGCTTTGCTCTAAAATATTGGTTACTTTCTCAAATGTGGAGTAACAGCATAGTGTAGCGAAGACACAGGCTCGGATCTGGGATGCCTGGGCTTGAATCCTCGCTCTGCCACTCGCTCTGTGTTCTCAGGCAAGTCACGTTGCCATTCTCTGCCTCATTTCCTCATCTGTAAAACCTCATGGGGTTGTTGTGAGGATTAAATCAGTTAATGTGCAAAGCACCCAGGGCCTGGCATTAACCTTCTCTGCTTTATTACATATCAACTACTGATTACTAGTGTGCTGCTCTATTAAGAAAAAGGTCTGATCTTTTAATATTGAAAACAAGGCCCAGTGATTTTCCCAAAGATCAAAGAGTTAGTTAAAGGAAGTTCTGAGCCCAGAAGAACGTTTAAAAAAAACTCTTAGTAATTTTTCTGCTAAAATCATTGCTTCTCTCTTCACCGAGTTCTAATGGTGCATTTGAGTACGTAGGACTGATAATGAGTGTCTTCTATTAATGATACTTATGTTTCTTAGAATTTGTTTGAAGATGGTTTGGGTGTGGCTCTGAGTTACTCAGACTTAGTGCCAAGATTCAGAATCTTTTTAGAGTCGCTGGCTTCCTCTTAGAATAGAGTGGAGCGGGGGGCTGCTGCAAGATGCCTTTAAGTTGATTTCAACTTAATGGCCACATTGTCAGCTATGAGCATTTATCCAGTATATGCCAGGCATTTTACCGGCGCTGTAACACGGCACCAGGACACACGTATAAACAAGGCACGTATGGTGCTACCTTTTAGAGTCTGCAGACTTGAGTTGGTGGCAGACACATAAATTAGTCATTACTCCTCCTTGCAGTTGGTGAGCTGCTGGGGGAATGTCCCACTGCTAAGTGCTGTTTTCTGGGCAGAGGAGGGAGCACAACCAACTCCCTGGGGAAGGCAACAGATGTCCCAGATGTGATGAACTAACGTTAGGACATACTGTAAAGGAAGCCCCTTACGACCCTCATCCATGTATGTATGGGGCAAGGTGGGTGGCATGGAGCAGGAATGGGGTCTTGGTTATGTTGAGAGAGGTCTGTGTTTTCATTAGAGGTTCTTTTGTTTAGGGGAATCTATGTGACTCCTGGTATATCTGGCTCAGTGTGATTATTATCCACATTGTTACAACAAGGTTCAAAAATGGAAACTTAAGTTTCCAGTTCATTCTGATTCATCATTTGCCATTCTTAGTAGAAGCTCAGAACCTGAAATCTCCCCTAAAGCTACAAACTCTGTTTCTGACTCTTATCTATATAAAGAATCTTCCATGGTAATGCTTCCCATTTTCAAAGCACTGTTATCTACATTATCCTATTAGATCCTTTCCTTTTCAATCCCTTTTAATGGCAAGGAAACAGGTTCAGTAAGATCAGCTGACCTCTCTGTGTAAGTGGGACCTAAGGTAGGATCTTCCTTGAATAGCTTAACTCTGATTTTCCAGGTAGAGGATTTTGTTGATTGGAAAATACGATTAAGGAAGGTCTTAAGTAATCTATTTTTATTAATTAAAATGGCTATCGTATGTGCCAGATGTCCCAGCAGAGCTGGGCGGGGTACCTTGCTGTTATTGCAAAAAACACATCGTTCCTCTTAGCAGATCCTGAGGTGGAGTCTCGCCAGTGGCCGGGTGGCCGGGGGTAAAGACCGCGGCTGAGACCAGGCGCAGTAGTAGGTGGGAACCCAAGACTGGTTGCGCTGTAACTCCTGAGAGTCAGGGTTCTTCTGTTTAGCTAAGAAAATTTGGGGGTAGTTTGTAGAACGGTGAATCCTTTTCCAGGGACTGGTGAATGCAATGAAATGAATACTACAGAGATAACATGCATATCAAACACACACTTTTGTCCAGTGCACAGCCCAATTCTCATTCTAGCCACACTGCCCTGCCTTTAAAAAGTTTAAAAAAAAAAAAAGATAAAAAGTTCACCGTGGGCCAGGCGCAGTGGCCCATGCCTATAATCCCAACACTTTGGGAGGCTGAGGTGGAGGATCACTCAAGCCCAGGAGTTTGAGGCCAGCTTGGGCAACACAGAGAGACCTCTCTACTACTAACAACAACAAAAAAAAAAAATTAGCAAGCGTGGTGTAACATGCCTGTATACAGTCCCAGCTACTCAGGAGGCTGAGATAAGAAGGTTGCTTGAGCCCTGGAGATCACGTCACTGCACTCCAGCCTGGGCAACAGAGTGAGACTCTGTTCCTGCCCCCCACCCCTTCCTCCCAAAAAAGCAGTAATTCTAATTTAGGTGGAGAGATGGGGGAAAATTTCAGACTGGATATCCTGTAATTTTTTGTTTGTGTGAAATACACAGGTAGTGGAAGGTCTAGGGTTGTCATCTCAAGGGCATCCTGCAATCATTTGCTTTTTTTTTCCTCTATAAAAGCAACTTTCATCTAATCTTCCCTTACGGCCAATCTAAAGCAGCCCCCAAGTGACTCTTCAAACACTACTCTGTTTTGTTGCATCATAGCACTTACTGACATCTGGTATTTTCTTACTCATTCATTCATTTGCTTCTTTTTTCCCCAGCTCCCGCTACACGCAAACTGCAAATGAGCTGGGACCTCGTCTTATTTTTCTTGTTCAATGCTGCATACCAGTGTCTCAAACAGAGGCTGCTCCATATAGTCCTTCACTATTGGTTTTTTAAGTTAATGAACTTCTCTTGACATGATTTTCTGATTTTTGTTCTTTTATCTTAAGGTTTAAAAGTTGAGAGCAGCATGTTTTGCCTACTGAAACTCATCCTGCTGCCAGTGTTACTGGGTAAGTAGAAGCTAAGGGACTGTGTGGGGTATTTGATTTCTCCTAAGTTCTGTGCATTATTAAAAGCCAATTTGATATGTTTTTGATTCCCCTGGGTTTCTTGAAGATGGAAATCCTAACGTGGAACTTCACAGTTTTGTTGAAGCAGCTGTTTTTGAAGCCAGCTAGCTTATGGTTTCTTGGGAAGCTGAATCTTCCTGTTTCCATTAGAAACAGAATGGCTTTGGGTCCTAAAGGGTATTCTGGGACCCTCTTACGTGACAAAAAGAAAGTTTCTCTGTGGCATTCCTGCACTTTAAATTGTTATCTTTAAAACCACAGTTCGCCTTGAATCAGGAACTGAAATTACCAAAGAGAGACCCAGAGCTGTTTTCATGCTGCAGCCACGCCGGCCTTCTTGTGGTTCCTCAAATTCACTGAGCTCTTTCCCAATTTGTGGTGGTTTCCTTTGCCTGGAACCTTCCTCCCAACACTTCACTCTAGCAAGCCCGCCCAAGGCTTCCTTACCCTTCAGGTTTCCCCTTATGCTCCACTTACTTCTGAGGAGCCTGACCTGGCCATCTCCTCGGACCAGATTAGTCTCCTCTTTACACCTCCACCTAAGTACTGGGCTTCTTGTTGCTCATCTCCACTGGTTTCTAGGTTTTCATCCTTTCCCCCATGCTTTTTTCTTTATCCTGTGGGTGTAGTTCTGGAAGGAGAAGAAATTAATCAGGTGCTTTGCTCTCATAGCCTTTTCTTTTTCTTTTTATTATCATTTTTTGAACTTTGGACAGTGATTTAAACCCTGACTCAGCAAAGTATATAACAGGGTTGCCTTTGCTCCTATTCTAGGCAATACAGAGTGTGTACAAACATGCACATATGCACGCACACCAAAATGGTGTTCATTAGAGAATTTTTCTTTTTTCTTTTTTTGTTTTTTTTGAGACGGAGTCTCACTCTGTCGCCCAGGCTGGAGTGCAGTGGCCGGATCTCAGCTCACTGCAAGCTCCGCCTCAGGGGTTTACGCCATTCTCCTGCTTCAGCCTCCTGAGTAGCTGGGACTACAGGCGCCCGCCACCTCGCCCGGCTAGTTTTTTGTATTTTTTAGTAGAGACGGGGTTTCACCGTGTTAGCCAGGATGGTCTCGATCTCCTGACCTAGTGATCCGCCTGTCTCGGCCTCCCAAAGTGCTGGGATTATAGGCTTGAGCCACCGCGCCCGGCCCATTAGAGAATTTTTCTCAAAGAAGCAGGGTTATAATGATCTCAGAAGGTATTTAGACATTTTCCCAGAGATCTGTGGAGCAGCCTGCAGGTTTTTGCCCTCCAATCCAGAAAGCTACTAGTCCAACCCCTGTATGTGGTGACTTGGTGACACTGGGGGTTTTGTAGTTTTTGTGGAGAGGTTTTCTTTTCTTGCAGAAAATCTCATCTTCTTCAGCTGTTTCTCTACTAAGATTGCCCTTCAAACATCAGTTTTTCTTTGCTTTGGTTGCTGTTGTTGCTTCCTAGCAGTTCTTCATTTAATTCTACGCACAGTGTTCTTAGTATTAAATTTGCTTATTACACTTTTGACCACACGTGGAATTGCTCAATTCTTCCTTACAGGAAAATTCCAAATATTTGTTGGAGCTAATTTTGATTTCTTTCAAAATAATTCCCTCTGAAGGGTTTAGAGTTGCTGTTTTCTTTTGTGTCCTCCCTGCTGTGTGAGCCTGCTGTTGGGCAGGAAGTTAACTCTCTTCTCTCAGGGAAACAGCTTGCATGAAAAGACTGGCACGTATTCTGTTCATTCCCATCACTTGGCTCTTCTCTGATATGAACTGGGCAGCATCTAAATGTATCTTTCTTGATTTTGTTGTCTCTTTGCATAGAGCATATCTTGTGAAAACAGAAATATCCATGTAATGTTTTTTTCTTGTAGTGACCTCTTGAAATTGCTTGAGCAACCTAGAGATAATGGACAGGGGTCCCTGTGTGAAGCACCTAGAGGCTGGAAAGCTGATGACAAAGCTGGAGGGGTGAGGCAGGGAGAGGAAAAACACAGTGGAAATGCAGGAGGAAAGCTATGCTCCATGGTGGCCTAATTATAAGGACCTGCCCTACAGCCAGAATCAGCCAGCAAATGCAGAAATAAGCTTTTGTAAAGGAACTAAAAGACGAAGAGGAAGTAGACAAAAGGTCCTTTTTTCAGAGAGGGAACCAGTGGGAGACTTAAGAGCAAGGAACATCCCATTTCCTGGTAAGTGGAGGTGGGTGTCTAAATTGATGATCAGAAAGGAGAGACTTCCAGGGTTTCCCTTATTTCTTTAGAAAGGTTGGGAGGAAGAATTCCAGAAAAGTGTAAGGGACTAGATAGGAGGAGGGAGCCAGACAGCATTTATTGTAGTATGAAGATTGCAGAACCCTTCTGATGAGCCATATAGGTAACTAGAGGACAGGGATGCCATGCTGCCTTTGAACACGCCTCTGAGGACTTTGTCTATGTTGGATCATCCAGGGAGAGGGGTGTTTAGTACTCCATGATTGAAATTGATTTTTGTTGTTGAGAGTATTTGTCTAAATGATGTGTCCTCTTGCCTTTGACTTCTATAGATTATTCCTTGGGCCTGAATGACTTGAATGTTTCCCCCGCTGAGCTAACAGTCCATGTGGGTGATTCAGCTCTGATGGGATGTGTTTTCCAGAGCACAGAAGACAAATGCATGTTCAAGATAGACTGGATTCTCTCATCAGGAGAGCAGGCCAAGGTAACGCAGGGGAAACATCATCATATAATAGAAGCCCCTGACTGCTGGTGTCAGGACAGAGTGGTGTAAGAGTCAGGCATCAGGTGCCACCAGGAGGTGTTACAAGAGCCGGGGCTTTGGAGATGATCAGAACTGGGCCTTGTACTAGCTCAGGAACTTGGTTATGTTATCAGCTGGGTAAGTAAGTTACTCAACCTTGCTGATCTTAGCTTCCTGAGCTGTGAAGAGGAAGGCAATTACAATAATGGTAATGCTTACCTTTCAAGTAGTTAAGGGGCTAATGGGAGACACACACATGAAATGAGAGGTTCCTTGTTCTTGCACATGAAATTCTTTTAGTTTCCTTCCTTTATCTCTACCCTTTGTTAAGTAGCAGAAGTGGGTGAGAGGGGTAAATTCCAAGGTTCTAGAAAGAAGAGCTCTGACCTAGGCATAGGAACTATATCACAGTAATCTTTTTTGGGGTGGGGAGGAGGACAGATTCTTTCAGTGTTTTTCACTGCTCCATTTATGTGCTGGGGAATCATCCTTTTCTCCTTTGTGGCTGCTTAAAGTGTTGGGATTAGCAGATGCAGCATGGCTGGGCAAGGGTCTTTCATGGAGCTCTTTGGAGTGAGGAACAGTGTATTAAGCCTCATCAGAGAGTCTGTATAGATACTCGTATATCAGGATCATTTGTGAAAAACATCCCACGTAGTTTGTTACTAACAAGAAACTCCCAATGTTTGCAAATAAAATATTGTTTTTGTAGCTCAACAGAGCACACTCCCTGTTGTCCCTATAACACTACTCTCACTCAAATTTTTATTGGCCTTTATTTTTATAAGAGGGATAGGTCCATGGTGTAAGTAGAGTAAGAATTTCTGCCGGGTGTGGTAACTCACGCCTGTAATCCCAGCACTTTGGGAGGCTAAGGCGGGGGGATCACTTGAGCTCAAGAGTTCGAGACCAGCCTGGGCAACATGGCAAAAAAACAATCTCTACAAAAAAAAAACAAACACAAAAATTAGCTGGCTGCAGTGGCATGTACCTGTAGTCCCAGCTACTTGGGAGACTGAGGTAGGAGGATCACCTGAGCCTAGGAGGTGAAGCTGCAGTGAGCTGTGGATTGTGCACTGCAGTCCAGCCTGGGTGACGGAGGAAAACAGTACAAAACCAAAACCAAAAACAAAAGAATTCCCCAGGGCCCAGCCTAGAACCATTGCCTGTGGATGACTCCTTTTGTGTTATGATACTGCTGCCGGGAGGAGGGTAGAGATGAGCGAAGTAGCAGCCAGCCGGCCATGCCTGGAATTCTCACGCCAACACCACCCACAGCACTAGTGAAAATAGATCATGCATCTGAATGCCATCTAATCTGGGGCCGTGGTAGAAACTAGGGTGAAAATGAGAGATGGTTTTCAAAAGTTGTAAGTTTAAAACCGTAGAGTGATCTTCAGAGTGGGTGCTATATTTTACCTTAAACTGTAAGAAATAAAATGTGGACCGCATTTCTCCATTTGTCCTTGTAGAAAGTGAGCCGCAGATCTTGTGCAAGTTGGACTGTTGCCTGGCACATTATTTTTATTAACTGGGTACCAAATGCTTTTGGATCATGATCATGATGATAGCTCTGCTGCCCCCACATAACAGAGTATCTGGGATCCAGGATCCTCGGTCTAGCACCTCTTTTGATTTTCTCCAACACTGTTTTGCCCTTCAGGATGAATATGTGCTATACTATTACTCCAATCTCAGTGTGCCTATAGGGCGCTTCCAGAACCGCGTACAGTTGATGGGGGACATCTTATGCAATGATGGCTCTCTTCTGCTCCAAGATGTGCAAGAGGCTGACCAGGGAACCTATACCTGTGAAATCCGCCTCAAAGGGGAAAGCCAGGTGTTCAAGAAGGCGGTGGTACTGCATGTGCTACCAGAGGAGCCTAAAGGTACGCAAATGCTTACTTAAAGAGGGGCCAAGGGGCAAGAGATTCCATGTGCAAGAGGCAAGGAAACTGATTATCTTGAGCAAATGCCAGCCTTTGGGCTAAGTACTTACCATAGAGTGAATCTTCAAAAAATGATCATAATGATTTCAGTCAATAAAAATATAGTTATTTTATTAAATAAAATATTGATAATTATTGTATTATTACTTCAAACACACTTCCTCCTCCCAAAAGCCCTGTGAAGGATGTTTTGTTCACATATGTGTCCAAATATGTTTTGGACACATATTTATTAAATGGCATAACTAGTACTTGATCCCTGGCACCTCTGACAACAGAGCCCATGTTCTTTTTTACTATGCCCTAATACCTTTCCTCAGTTATCCACATTGATGCTACATCTGTATTTTATAGGTACCCTCTGTTAGGTGTTCTGGGGGATAGAAAAGAAATGAGCAGGCCAGGCTCAGTGGCTCATGCCTGTAATCCTAGCATTTTGGGAGGCTGAGGCAGAAGGATTGCTTGAGTCCAGGGGTTCAAGGCTGCAGTGAGCTATGATGGTACCTCTGCATTCTAGCCTGGGTGACAGAGCAAGACTCTATCTAAAAAAAGAAAAAAAAAAAAGAAAAAAAAAGGCTGGGTGTGATGGCTCACACCTGTAATCTTAACACTTTGGGAGCCTGAGGTGGGAGGATCACTTGAGGCCAGTTTGAGACTAGCTTAGGCAACATGGCGAGACCCTATGTCTAAAAAAAAAAAAAAAAAAAAGCTGGGCATGATGGCACATGACTGTGGTGGTTTCAGGTACTAGGGAGACTGTGGTGAGAGGATCACTGGAGCCCAGGAGGTGGAGGCTGCAATGAGCTGTGATTGCACCACTGCACTCCAGCCTGGGTGACAGAGCTGAGACCCTGACTCTTAAAAAAGAAAAGAAAAAAAGAAGAAAAGAACAGATCTTTCTAACTCTTTGCACTTTATTTTTCCATTTATAAGTGGAGGGAGTGGTAGATGGGTGGTTTTAAAATTTGTGCTCTGTAAAACCTTAAGTTCCAAAGAACATGAATGGTAAAAGCAGGGCAGGGGGTTGGTAGCAGACATATCTGCTCAGATAGGACCCCAGGCTCCCACCTGCATTGCAACCAAAGTCCTTTTCCTTTTTCCTGTTGTATTCATTGGGCTACCAGGTAAGATTTGGTTTGAATAAGGATTCTGCTGCTTTCAAGCAGTTTGAAAGGGAGAGTATAAGCTATGGTGGCCTGGGTCATTTAGAAAGTTTTTTTTTGCCTCTTTGGATATTAGTTGAAAGGAATGCAGCTGAGACTGTAACCAAAGGAGGCATTATGCTTCCAGAAAAATCTCGAAAGTATTGCAAGCAACTGTAGAAGCTGTTGTATTGGGCTCCAAAGGAAAGGGTAGAGAGATTCAACCAGTTAGCCCAAAAGCTGGAGATAAAATTATTCCCCCAGAATCTAGAAGATGGAGGCACCAAAGTAGTTCTGGATGACAGGGATCATTCTTTATTTAGAGATAGTGGATTCTTGGAAAGTATATATATTGAAATAAATCACTATTGAAAAAGTCTCATGTGAAGCCACTCATTCCACTGGAGTTCTGAAATCTTTCATCGTGTAAATAATTTCCATGTCTCTCTTTTATAATAAACTAATGATATCCAAACTAATGTCAGCCAGTGTCTCTAAAATTTAGTTTTGCTTATTGATATAAACACTTACAAATAAAAATACATAAATGAAAGTAAAAGTTTGCAAGCTGCAGAACTAGATGCATTCTTTAAGATTGCGGAATAGAAGGAACAGTCTGTGACCCCAGGAAACTTTGTAATGTAGTTAGGGAACTAGAATCTGAGGCCATTTCCCGCCTGCAGCTAGCTTAGGTCCTTAGCCTCCCAGCTTTATTCATGAGCTCCTCCAGTGCACCCTTCCTTCCTCTCTTATGACACTCATCACACCCATTCACTTGTGTCTTCCCTGCTTGCCTGGGCACAGCCCCTGGTACAGCATAAGCAATTAATAAGCATTTGTGGAATGAATGAAGTTACTGAGTTAGCATCCCTTGCTTGAATCCAATTTCTAAAAAATGGAGTTGTAGGAGGTGGCCTCTGGCCCCTCTCCTAATTATCCGTATTGTCATTTTTCTCTTAATTCCAAAGCTCTGGTTCTCCCGGAAGAAGAAGCAAATCAGATGCCTGTGCCCAAGGATTTTCTCTTCTTTTTTTTTTTTTTTTTTTTTTTTGAGGTAGGGTCTTGCTCTGTCACCCAGGCTCTGGAGTTGCAGTGGTACAATCACGGCTCACTGTAGCCTTGAACTCCTGGGTTCAAGTGATCCTTCTGCCTCAATCTCCCTAGTAGCTAGGTCCATAGGTATGCATCACCATGCCTGACTTTGTTTGTTTGTTTAAGTAGAGACGGGGTCTCCCTACATTGCCCAGGTTGGTCTCAAACCCCTGGGCTCAAGTGATCCTCCTGCCTCAGCCTCTCCAAATTGCTGGTATTACAAAGGATTCTCTTTTTGCTTCCTTTTTCTGCCTTTGGTCTCTAATGCTGTGCCTGAACACTTGCCCATGCAAGCACAGCCTTTTCCTGCTTAGAAGAGACACAGAGGAAACTGCAAGGAGTCAATTTCAAGAGCTGAGGAATTCATAGAAACAGGCTAGGGCAATGTTAGAGGTAGTCAGATATTTCCCCAGTGGCTAGTGGAGCAAACTGTATTTTTTTTTTTTTTTTAATAGAATGGGAATAGATCCAACCCCTAACAATTTTGCCTAGTGGAAGGTGCTCCAACTTGCTTTACGTAAGTTGCCTCCACCAACGTGGCAACTCCGTCTTTTGCAGTCATCTATAATTTTCTCTACAAAGTTTACCCTTCAGTTGACAGTCTATGATTCTACCGCTTCAATTCTTTTTTTCATAGTTCTTAATTTAAATACTATAGATGAAAATAATAATTAGATTAATGTCCTCTACTTTTGCTCTAGAATCAGCCATCCTTCTACTTATGTGGGGTGCCACAGTAGAGTGAGTGAGAAAACTCGGGCTTTGCCTTCGCTCAGGCCTGAGCTTAAATGTTGACTTTACCTTTTACTGGCCATGTGGCGTTGGGCTCCTTTACTTTCCTTCTCTGCAAAATGGGAGAGTAGTCATACAAACCTCAAAATATTGTAATGACTAACTGATCTACCATGTACAGGGTGTCTAGCACATGGCTGGTGCATTGAAATGACTCAGAATGTTCAGTTGTTATTATTGCATTTTAAAAATAGAGTTTAATTCTTAATGTGCTGATAGATTTAAAGGGAGTTTGCTTCCTTGCTGGTATTCTTTGGAGTAAATTTTTTATTGCTTTCAAAATAATTCCTTCCATAGATTTTAGAGTTCATAATATTTTCTTTTGCTTTCCTCCTACTGTGCATTTCTCCTGCTGGGCAGGAAGTTACTCTTCTCCCAGGGAAACAATTTGGATAAAAGCGTAGCTTATGCACTCTGTTCCCTCGTGATCTTTGCTTAACACTCTTTTGAAGGAACTCTGTGCACTTAAGACCTAGACCTGTGTCTTCCTCATACACTACCCTGCCTTTCATTGCTTAATCAACTTTGTGGTTGATTTGTATAGAGCATTACTGAAAAATCAGAAATATCTTTCCACTTCTTTTCTTTTTCACGGGCCACTTAAAATGACTTATGTAATAAACATATGGTGGGTCAGCTGCTTGTACAATAGGCAGAAGGAAGAGCCTAGGAGTTGGAAAGCCAGAAGCAGGGGAAGAGGGGAGGGTGGGGGCAGGAGAGAGCAGGATGAAAACAGAAAGAAAAGTCTTTTGTCTTGGCCTAATTAGCAAGGAGTCCTGTGACTTGTACCAAGGCCAGAACTAGGTCCTAGAATAAAAGAAAAAGAATAAAAGAAGTTGAAGAAAGTTACCCATGGTTCATTTTTTTTAGTTGGGAGAGTCAGTGGGTTAAATATAAGAATGAGAGTTCTATAACTTTCCACTTCCTGTTTATACTAAGCAGATGTTGGTATCTAAGATGACGAACATAAAGTGGGGGCTTTGAGATTTTCCATACTTCCTTTAGTACAAACTTGATGTGAAATTAGAGTTCATGGGAGGAATTCTGGAAAAGGGGAAAGAGAAAGGAATTAAAGAGGACCAGAAAGTGTTTATGGTGGTATGGAGACAGCAGAAACCCTCGGGCTTGGTACATGTGGGCAGCTAGAGGGTATTCTCATCTTGGGGATGCTGCTGTGCTGGTCTGAGGGAGGAGGCTCTGAGTACTTTGGATCCAGGGAGGATCCTCCGGATCACCTACAGAGGGAATATGTATAGTGTTTGGTGGTGACAGTGATTTTTGCTGCTGAGGGTCTTTGGCTAACCATGATCTCTTCTAGAAAGTCTTTGACTTCTATAGATTATAACTTTAGTCTGACTTGATTTACTATTTTATCCTCAGAGCTCATGGTCCGCGTGGGTGAAATGATTCGGATGGGATGTGTTTTCCAGAGCACAGAAGTGAAACACGTGACCAAGGTAGAATGGATATTTTCAGGACGGCGCGCAAAGGTAACAAGGAGGAAACATCACTGTGTTAGAGAAGGCTCTGGCTGATGGTGTCAGGACAGAGGTAGAATCAGGCACATGAGGAGGTGTTACAAGAGCCTGGGCTTTGGGGCTTATCAGAACTGGATCTTCTCCTAGCAATTTCAGCTTTCTGGTGGGAAAGATAACTCCAATGAAGAAGAAGAACAAGAAGATGATGATGATGCTTAACTTTTAGATGCCAATGTGAAATTGTACATGTAAAGCATTTTGTACATGACTTGGCCCCTACATTTTAGTTTCCTTCTTTCTCCCTTTTCCTTTGTATAGCGTCCGTGGGAGAATGAGGGAGATGATTTTTGTGGCCCAGCCAGGAAAACAATGGGCTAGGCATAAAAGCGATTACACTTTTATTCTTACTGGGGTTAGTTCTGTGACTTTTCATCTGTGCTCCATTGCCCCATTTATGTGATGGAGGGAATTTTCATGGGTACTTCACGTGCTGGGATTGATCGATCCTGGGGGCCAGGGTGAGGGGTATTTCTTGGGAGATCTATAAAGTAGTAAACAGCAAGTTCGTTCATTAGACCAGTAGATCTTAACCATGATGTGGTCGTATACTTATGAGTCAACATGTATTGTGGGGATATCCCAAGTAACTTGTTATTAATAAAAGTTAAGGTGCAAAATTTATTAAAGATTAACTTTTATAAATTAAAACATATTCCAGGTCATCTCTCTGACAAAGTCATTTGCACTTGATTCCTCTGTGCTATCTGAGTGGGTCACAGTGGGTGACATCATGATGGAGTATGGGGAATTACATCTGGTCCCAGGTTCACCCCTGAGAGCTTGCCATGCATTTAAATGTCATCCATTGAGTGATTCACAGGAGAAAATAGGATGAGAATTGACATTTTGAGGTTGTGAATTTGAATCATAAGAGACAAATGTTAGGGGCCAGGTCACTTCATTCACATTTGTGTCTACATACCCATTAACTTTTCTTAAAAGCTTTAAAAAAGCAATCTGGATGCCTTTTTTTTAAACGCCAATATTCATTTAACAAGTTATTTTTAAAGCATCTGCTATATGAAGAATACTCAAAACCCCTGACCTGATGGGAAACTTACAACTAAGATGAGGGAGATACGCATAAAATAATAAAGAAGTATATAATACATCAGGCAATACTAAGAGCCTATGGGGAACAATAAAGCAGGACTTTGTGGTTTTTGTTATGTGGGTGCTTGGGGAGGCCATACTGAGATGACATTTGAGGAGAGGTGTGAAGGAAGTCAGGGAGTGAATCCTGCATGTGTGTAGGGGAAGAATGTTCTTGCAGTCATAGACAGTAGCAAGTGCAAAGACCCTGCAGCCAGTATGCAAGGAGCAGCCAAGAGGTCCATGTGGCTGGAGTGCAGTGACCTAAGTAGGTGAGGGAAGAGCAAGTAGAAGTTGAAGTCAGAGGAAAAGGGAGATGGGCTGGGTCATGCAGGGCCTTGCATTTTGGTATAAATGGGAGTAGGGGCAATGAAAGGTTTTGAGCACAGGAGTAACATGATTTAACTTACATTTTTAAAGCCTCATCTGCTGAAAATAGATTGTCATAGCAAATAAGCAGGGAGACAAGTAAGAAAGCTGTTGCAGGAACCCAGGTGAGAGATGAGCTGGACCAGAATGGTATCAGTGGAGGAGGTGGGGACTGGCTGGATTGGGGATTTATTTTGAAGGTTGAGGTGATAGGATTTGCTGAGGGATTTGATGTGATTTTTTCCAGAAAGAAATTAAGGATGACTCCAAGATTTTTAGCCTGAGTATCTGGAGGAAGGCATTGCCATGTACCCAAATGGGATGGACTGGAAAGAACTGGTTTGGGGGAAAGATGGAGTTCCGTTTTAGACATGTTTCAGGTTCCTATTGGAAATCCAACTAGAAATGTCATCAAGAATAAAAGTATACTTTTGCTTTTTTTACTGGAAAGGTACACAAAGTGAAAGTCCTCCTTTTCTCATCCCTCTGTTCAGATGGAACAACTGTTCATGGTTTGGTGATGTCCTTCACAAGCACACACACATGCACATGTGTATGTGCGTGTACATGACTTTGTGTTATTTAAAGCTTTCTGATAATACCCTTACTGCCTTCACCTAGCAGGGCCTTGGGAGTCCTGAGATCTTCCCTCCCCCATTTTCTCCGCTCCCCCTCCACTCCAGTCCTCACAATCTCATACTTTTTGCCTTCCCCTTCTAGGAGGAGATTGTGTTTCGTTACTACCACAAACTGAGGATGTCCGTGGGGTACTCCCAGAGCTGGGGCCACTTCCAGAATCGTGTGAACCTGGTGGGGGACATTTTCCGCAATGACGGTTCCATCGTGCTTCAAGGAGTGAGGGAGTCAGATGGAGGAAACTACACCTGCAGTATCCACCTAGGGAACCTGGTGTTCAAGAAAACCATTGTGCTGCATGTCAGCCCAGAAGAGCCTCGAAGTATCTAACATTTGGCTGGGGGGCATTGAGGGACCTTCTGGCTGGTGCATGGGGCCAGGACTAGAGTGAGGCTGGAGAGGTTCCTAGGATGCAAAATTGAAGGAGGCATCCCTCTCAGGTGCTGACTCTGGCCTTGCACAACCCTGAGAATGATGCCTCCTTAGAGGTGGCTCCTCAGGTACCTGACTTGCCTCACCCTAGTTCTGGCCCTGCTGCTAGGCCAGGGACAGGGGAGCTAATTTAGTGAATACCAATCCTCTGCCAGACCCCACTCATTGCCAGGGTCATCTATTGATGTAAAGATACAGAAGCTCAGGGAAGGATCTGAGTTGATGTCCAAAGTCAGCATACTTGGTTTCAAGGGAGGTGCTGTATGCGCTAGAGTGGAGCGGGAAGTGATCCTAAGCTAGTGAGAGACAGCCAGGAACAGAGAGGAACATGCAGGCACCAGAACCAAAAATGGAGGGGTTTTCTGATCAGAGGTTCTCGGTTCTGGCAAACAGCGTGCATCAAGGCCATTGGTGTGTAGGAGAGGAAAGACTCGATTGTGTTGACAGAGAGAGGTTGATAAGTGAGGGGTTGAAGTTAAACCATAACCCAGTTAGCAATCAGGATGTGGCCTGTGGACTTTGCCCCTTGCTAGGGCCTTCAGGAGTTGGTTGTGGTTGATTGGGGGCGGGGAAGATGGGGTGAGGATGGAACATACCTCATACCTCAGGCCAGAGATTTAAGTCTGTGGAGGCACCTTGTCTCCAGCTGGAGAGGGGAGCAGGGCAGATGGGTTTCTTAAAGAACCATCATCTTTCTGTGTGCTTCCTTCTCAGAAGTCCAATTCACAGAGAAAATCGAGCTATTATGGGGGCTCATGCAGCTTCTCTACCCACAAACATATCTATGTCTCCCCATCCTTATCTCTGCCCTGCCATCCTGAGACAGAGGAGGGTCCCTTCTGCTCTGGGCTTATCTGGCCCCCTGTGCCCAGGTGGCATCCTTCTCAGGAGCCTCACAACATGGCTCTTTGAGCTCTCACTTTCTGTTGGCTTCTACCATTCAAATTTGCTCAATTCTACCACTTACCTACTCCAACTCCCTTCTATGTCTTTTTTTCTTCAGCTCCATTCTGTGTCTTTCTTTTTCTTCAGATTGCTTTCCTGAGATACAATTCACATACCATACAATTTGCCCATTTAAAGCGTTCAGCTCAATGGTTTTAGTACATTCAGAGTTGTACAACCACCACCACAATCATGTATTTCTTTCTCAACATAGCCAAATAGCTTGCTAAAGGTCTGTGTTTGGAATACTACTGTCTCATCTCCCATTAACTCTTCAGTGCACTGCATTCTGGCTTATTCTACCTGTACTCCAGCTTAGACCACCAATGGCACTGCAACTATCCATCCTCAGCCTTCCCTCCCTCAGTAGCGTTGGACACTATATTTTATATGCACTCTATGTTGGACCCAATTCCACACACACTCATGGATATGCATAGTAAACTCTACACAAGTTTTCCACAAATCCTTCATACGCGACATGTCTCACCTACCCCTGTACACCCTTCCTCAGCCCATCTCCCCAACCTCAGTTGTGTAACTAGATGCCTGGGGATGTGCTTGATTCCTTCCCTTTCCTTGACCCCAATCTAACAGGTCAGGTCAACAAGTCCTTGACTCCTACTACAGACTCTTGAAGTTGTCTTCCTTCCAGTCTGTCACTGCCACCTTAGTTCTGGCTGTCTTCATCTCTGTCTTGAACTGTAGGCCTCTAACCAGTCTCTGCTTTCTCTCTCAGCCACTGCTCCTCATTCTTCACACGGCTCTTGGTGCCATCTTTCTAAATCACATTAAGAACTTTCTCTTCCACTGCTAATAATCTTTCAATGGTTTTTTCATTGCCTGCAGAAAAATGCCAAATTCTTGGTTGAGATAGTCAAGGTCCTTCCTGACTTGGACCCTATTATCTCTCCAGCCAAATTCTCCAGCACACCCACAGATGCCACTTTTGTGCCAGACCCATTGAACTCTTTCTAGTTTCTAAAATCACCATCCTGTCAGGCCTTCAGATCTCGCACAGAACATCCCCTCTGTCCTTCCCCAGATTGTCTGCCCAAGAAACTGGATGTTTCCTATAAGTCTCAGGTTAAACTTTAGAACTTTTGCTGGCAAATTCTCATTTGCTGCACATAGAATTGGGCACCCTTTTTTCTGTGACCCTCTGTTCCCCGTACAGACTTCTGTTGTAGTGCCTACAGCAGCCTGTGGTTTTCTGTTGACGTGTTTGTCTCCTTCCTTGGAAGCAGGGACCATACATCATTTGTCTCTGAATCCCCTGTACCTAGTGCTGTCTGTTCCTGAGGAGGTGCTTGCTTTATGTGTTTAGAAAGAACCATGCAGATGAGTAGAAGGTACCCTATGGGCAGAAGTACCTCCAGAGGCTTTCCTTGGTATCGTCGTTGTGGGGCTGAGTCTTGCGGCATGTGTTCTTTTGAAGACAACCACTTGCCCTGGGGAAGATCAGCAGCCTCTAAGATGCCTGTTATTTCTCGGTCACTTGTTAAGCTAAATTTTAGAACAGAATTGTTGACGTGAAAGGAAACTTTACTACAGGTGAAGTGCTAGCCTCTTCTCCCACCCACCTTAGTCTACATTTTAGGGCAAACAGGGGGGTTAGACTTTGGTTCTCAATCTCATGGAGACAGTGTCCCTAGTGTCCAGATATCGGGTAGAATCTGGCCTTCCCTCCGCTTCCTGGCCTGGCTGGTGCTACTTGGTACAGGGCTGTGGGACTCTCGGCTCTTTGCTAAAGTTATTGAGACCCTCTCCTTGCTTTTCTCCTTTCCCAGCACTGGTGACCCCGGCAGCCCTGAGGCCTCTGGTCCTGGGTGGTAATCAGCTGGTGATCATCGTGGGAACTGTCTGTGCCACAATCCTGCTGCTCCCTGTTCTGATATTGATCGTGAAGAGGACCTGTGGGAATAAGAGGTACAGGGCTGCCCCCGCCCCTTGGGTTGGGAGGCTGGGGGTACAAGGCTGCTTCTATCCAAAGTGGAAGAGGTGATAGGGTCCTACTATGCCATTCTCACAGAAGTGGGCATTTTAAAGTGAGCATTTTAAAGAATCAACTGTGGTAACCCTGCCCACTTTGCTCACTGTGCCTGGAAAATAATTTAATGTTCCTACACTCTCCTCATTCACTTTGGTATTACGTAAAGACTACAAACTCCCTTAGAAATGGGGGTCTCAGTAGGGCATAATTCAGAGCATAAATCTTACAAAAGAACTATCATGGTACCATTCACTGCCTAAGAGATGATTTTAAAATTATCCACACTGTACGTTCCACATAGAAGCTAAGATCTTAAGGGTTGCCAGTGGTTTTATCTAAAAGATAAAAGACTCTGTCTAAAAAAAAAAAAAAAAAGTGCTTTTCAAGGCCTGGATTTCATTAGTAGTTCTTCCAGGGTCTCAGAAGTCCCCAGATGCTCCAACAGGGACACTAGTGTTCCACTGGCTGTTGGCAGATCCACGCCCCTCAGTTTATCCAACTATTGATGAGGGGCACAGATTGACTGTCTTGTTGAAATAGTGTCAGTGGGAAAGGGCCTCATGAATAATCCTGACTTTTGAGTGTTCTTTCCCAGTGGGTCTTTGATTGTGCAGAAAACACTTGGACCTGCTAAGTTTTCACTTCCCCTCCCTAGGGCTTCCTGATTTGGGTTTGAACTTGGCTGGCCTCTCTGAAGGTCTTTGCTCTGGGCATGCTCAGAGCACTGAGCTAGACAACCTGGGTTCCACTCTCAGCTTACTTCCCCTGTCTGAGCCTCAGTTTCCCCCCAAAGGAAATGTAGCACTTCCATATCTAGTCGTTTATTCTAAAGAAATAATTAGATGGATATGCTGAGATTTGTGCAAAACTGCAGTCATGCTTATAATCAAAAATAGGGATCATTACCAGTGTCTGTCAGAAAGGCAGTGATTCAGTGAACCAGTGTTTCACTCAATGAAACACTCCAGATCCCTCTGTGTGATGACATGGAAAGATATCCAAGGGGTAAAAATGCAGAATTTATGGGATGACCTCATTTTTATAAAAGAGAAAATAATATGATGCTCACTCCAGCAGTATATGTACTAACTACATTTTGTGTGAGCTTACGCTTACACTGAGAGAGGCTGGGAAGGATAGTTGTAAAATGTGGGTAACGGCGTGGAATTTGAGATGAAGGAGAAGGTGGATCCCATGGGGTGAGGGGTTGCAGGGAACTTCCACTTCCAACTGTTTACGTTTCTGTATTATCTGAATTATTTTACAATGAGAAGATACAACTTTAAAAGCAGAAAATACAATGAAAGTATTTCCACTGAGACCAGAACATATGGTTTCTTTTCTAGCTTAAACTTTGATTTTTTTTTTTTTTTTAGTTCTGCCTTGGGCCAAAATGGAAAAAAAGAAAGTATATTCAGAAGGCAAATGGTCATGAGATCAAAGGCCAAGGGGCCCGGACCAGGCAGGCGCGGAGCTCCGGGCTTGGGGCTTGGGTGGGGTGTTCGTGGGGATTATTCCGCTCCGCCCCCTGGAGAGGCCAGGAGCCCTTTGGATTGGTGTCTTGCTGAGCTCCTGCTGCCCCCTGCTGGTTCCGCGGCACTCCCTGGTCCTCAGAAACGTAGAGACGATGGTCAAGTGGAATCCTATCTCCCCTCTCTTCATTCACTTAAAATTACCTCTCCCATAAGGACTGAAAGTGTCTTCAGTGATAATAGAGAAGTTGAAGCCGTTTTTCAGTCTAAATTATCTCCAGAACGGCTTCTTGTTCTTCATTAGAAGAGATGCGCTTCTCAGGTTTCCAGGTGAGCCGGGTAGCCCTGGCTGTAGGAGTCCAGAGAGAATAGTGTCTTCTCTGGGGTCTCTCTCTTCACAAAGCCAAGAGGGGGTCTCATGTAGGGACCCTTGAATAAACCATGCCAGCTGGTTAATTCCACATGCTCTTTATGTCTTGCAGTTTAGTGAATTCTACAGCTTTGGTGAAGAACACGAAGAAGACTAATCCAGGGATAAAAGAAGAACCCTGCTATTTTGAAAGCTGTGAAGGGGAGGTGAACACACGCTTCAGCCTAAAACACTAAGCAGATGCAGGCCTGGGCTGTTCTCATTCCCCGGGAACCATGTCTTACCCATTGTATGTTGCAGCTTGCAGGCCAGTGCTTGGCACAGAGCAGGGACTCAGGAAGCCTTTGTTACTAGAATAAGAGCCTCTGAGGAGTACAGTGCATGGGGCTGGCTCAACCAGCCCCAGGCAGCAGTTTCTGGTATTGGGCTGAGGAAAGAGCACTGCGCTTGGAGTCAGAAAGCTCTGCCACCTCCCCTAGTCTCACCAGCAAAATGAGGATAAGGATAAAGATATTATAGTTACCTGGCCTGCTTGACAGGGTTGTTGTAAGGTTCACATAAGATGATGATATGCAAATGCTTTGTAATCTAGGAGGTGCTGTTTGTCTAAAGTCTAATGGGGAATTATAATATATTCAGGAGTTAAGGAGTTCTAATGCTTAAAATGAAATAGTCTAAGACCTTAGCAAGAAAGGATTAAGAAGGACTTTTCTCTCCTTATTGATTAGTAATGGAGTTATAAATAATTGCTTCTAGAGACTGAGAAATGGATTGGTTTTCTTTAACTCCTATTCTTTCTTTTCTGTCTTTAATTTTAAAAACGCTCTTTGAATAGTTACCTTTCTCTGTTTTGGGCTGTTTTTGTCCCAAGAGTAGGATTTTCTCCCAGTAGAGTGCAGTAGTCCAAGAATGGGCCACTGGATGATACTGCTTTCCCAACGAGTGACAGGACCATGAGCCTCACAGCTGTGAAGCTCAATGAGGGCTGGCCCTGCCACATAAACCCTCTGAGGGAAATGATGACAGTACCCTGTTGATTAATGCCATTCTGCCTTTACTGTAATTAGAAGGAAATAACCCCACAATACAAGGAATTTAGCAAGATAAGGAACCCCTGCTGCTACCTAAACATCCATCTAAACAAAGATGTTTGGCTTTTGAAGCAAAGAGTTTGGTTCTTAAGACTGTGTTCTTTGACAGTTATTTTTCAAGAAGACTGAAGGCTGAATTATCATTATTGGGAATTCTCTAGCTCTCAGTAACCTTTGAACCTCCCAGTTTGGGTGGTCGATGCCCAGCAAATAGGAATAGGTGGCCTTTTCTCTGGTGTATAAGATTCATCTAATTTTTAGGAATTTTTGTACCACTTTCCCCCTCTAGAAAAACATTTACTCCTCAATAATTATACGGGAGGTGATCGAGGAAGAAGAACCAAGTGAAAAATCAGAGGCCACCTACATGACCATGGTGAGAATGATTCTGGCCCCAGCTGAGCCAGGTGTCAGAGGCTCAGGTGGTGGTGGTGGTGGGTGTGGCTGGGTTGCCCAGGGAGGCTGTTGAGAGCAGTGATTTTTCTAAGTAGCAGGAAAGTCTGAGAAACTGAAGTTCTGCTGGATAGAAGAGTGATATCAAACTTTCTTACCCAAGCTCAAGGATTAAAGGTTATCACCAGAGATTATTTATATTAGTGGTGAAAAGAAGTGAAGAGTGGCCTTTACTGGGGGCAGGGAGAATGTCTTTTGCCTCATTAATTCAATCTAATAAAGAAAACACGGTCGGGTGTGGTGGTTTATGCCTGAAATCCCAGCACTTTGGGAGGCCGATGTGGGTGGATTGCTTGAGGCCAGGAGTTCAAGACCAGCCTGGCCAATGTGGCAAAACCCCCTCTCTACTAAAAATGCAAAAATTAGCCAGGTGTGGAGATGCGTGCCTGTAATTCCAGCTACTTGGGAGGCTGAGGCATGAGAATTGCTTGAACATAGGAGGTGGTGGTTATGTGAGCCGAGATCCACCACTACAATCCAGCCTTGGCAACAGAGTGAGATTCTGTCTCAAAAAAAAAAGGAAAGAAAAGAAAAGAAAGGCCGAGTGCGGTGGCTCACACCTGTCATCCTAGCACTTTGGGAGGCTGAGGCAGGTGGATTACTTGAGGTCAGGAGTTCGAGACCAGCCTGGCCAACATGGTGTGAAACCCTGTCTTATTAAAAATACATTGGGAGACCGAGACGGACGGATCACGAGGTCAGGAGATCAAGACCATCCTGGCTAACACGGTGAAACCCCGTCTCTACTAAAAAAATACAAAAAACTAGCCGGGCGAGGTGGCGGGCGCCTGTAGTCCCAGCTACTCGGGAGGCTGAGGCAGGAGAATGGCGTAAACCTGGGAGGTGGAGCTTGCAGTGAGCTGAGATCCGGCCACTGCACTCCGGCCTGGGCGACAGAGCGACACTCCGTCTCAAAAAAAAAAAAAAAAAAACAAACAAAAAATTAGCCAAGCATGGTGGCGGGCTCCCAGCTACTTGGGAGGCTGAGGCAGGAGAATTGCTTGAACTTGGGAGGTGGAGGTTGCAGTGAGCTAAGATCCCGCCACTGTACTCCAGCCTGGGAGATGGAGCGAGACCAAAGAGAGAAACAGAGAGACAGAGAGAGAGAGAGAGAGAGAGAAAGAAAATACGATAAATAGGATAAGATCCTTGGGCAAGTATTGTGTTGCAGTGAGTTGTTTTCCTTGCTATCAAAAGCTCAAAGTAGGGTTCCTTCCACTGCTTAGATTTTGTTTCTTAATTTTGTGACTTATTGTACCTTCTCATAATCTAACTGCCAGGCAGGCTACATGCTGGATCTCATACAATATTTCGGAGTCTGATTCCTACTTTCCCATTGCTTAGACTTTAGGCCCTCAGAGAACTACAGCACCCTGGAAAAGGCACTGCAGGGCGTGCAGTGAGTAGGGGTAGCAACAAAAGGAGTGAGCTGGTGATGAGCATGGTGCTATTTGTAGACTAATTATAGGCACCCAGCCCATTAAGGAGCAGTGTTCTGCTGGATTTGGGAAGGCTGGCCTCCTCTGTTTGTGGAATGATGGGCTTTGTTTGTTCCTGTCGCATCAGCCCTGAGGACACATGACTCCCAGCTGATTGCAGCAGAGAGAGGTCTGCCAGGGAAGTGTGAGATCAGAGGCCTGGCCTGGATCCACCGAGTGAAACATTAACTCCACTGAAGTTGCAGCTGAATGGAATCATTTTCCTCCTGTATTTTTCTCCCATTTTGTAATTTGATACTGCAGTAACTTGCGAGGCCTCATCCTGGCTCCTGGAGACCTGCCGATATAGCTGCCTTGTGGCTACTGCTGAGTGCGTCACCAGCCAGGGTGGCACTGTTTGCAGAAAGTCTCCGAGGTGGGGAGAAACAATTGTCTTCACAGCTACCTTCCCCAGGTTTAATGCTAGGCGATTATGGTTTTGATTTTGTGGAAAACACCATTCCTCTCCTCTTGATCCAGGTCCAACAGAGTAAGAGGAGAGGCCTGGGCTGCAAACTCAAAGGCCGGCAGGGGCCGGTCAAGTTATTGTAAAATATGATGTGCCAAGTTAAATAAGCCTGTTGGTGAATTTGGGACTGCAGGCCACTTGTTTGAGACTTCATCTATAAAGGTGTTCTCTGATAGGGAGCAGAGGTAACAAAGAGCCTTTGTATTTTGTTGTTGAATTGATGAAATTCATGTAAATGTAGTGGCACCTTGCTGTTTTCCCTTTCTGAGGCTGTACACACAGTGGTTAAGGTTGCAAGCTGGGAGTTGGACAGACCTGGGTCCAAATTCTAACTCTGTGTTGCAGCCAGATGGTCTTGGGCAGGTAACTTGGCCTGTCTGAGCCTCAGTTTCCTTATCCTTAGAATGGGAATCATAATACCTACCTTCTGGTGGTAAGGATCACATGAGATGATGCATATGAAATTCAGTATTGGGCTGGGCTCATGAGAAGAGCTCAATGAATGGCAGCTGCTATGATTACGAACTACTTCTTACAAGCATGTTTTGTTTCTTTCTGCCCTTCCCCAACAGCACCCAGTTTGGCCTTCTCTGAGGTCAGATCGGAAAAACTCACTTGAAAAAAAGTCAGGTGGGGGAATGCCAAAAACACAACAAGCCTTTTGAGAAGGATGGAGAGTCCCTTCATCTCAGCAGCAGTGGAGACTCCCCTGTGTGTCCTGGGCCACTCTACCAGTGATTTCGGACTCCCGCCCTCCCAGCTGTCCTCCTGTCTCGTTGTTTGGTCAATGCACTGAAGGTGGAGAGTTTGGAGCCTGGCAGAGAGACTGGACAGCTCTGGAGGAACAGGCTCTGGTGAAGGGAGGGGAGCATGGACTTGGCCTCCAGAGTGGGACACTGGCCCTAGGAACCAGGCTGAGCTGAGTGGCCTCAAGGCCCCCACTGGATCAGACCCTCCTGTTGGCAGTGTTCTTAGGGTATGAGTTACTGGGAAGAATCAGAGATAAAAACCAACCTAAATCATTCCTCTGGCACATTATTTCTAGATAAGAGTGGTTTGTGGAAATCGTCCTTTTTTTATGCCTTGGTTGATGGGGGAAGTAAAGTCCTGGTGAGGAATTTACAGTTAGAAACTTCTGGAAAAACTGAAGTTCCTGGAGGAAAGCCAAACCATGCCAACACACTAGAGGCTGGTTTGGGTCCTGGGAAAGGTTTGGGGTGAATGGGTTGGAAGTGGGGTATGAATACAGCTTTGGGATTTAACTCAGTGGTTCTTCATTCCTGTTGGGCATTGCTGGTGGCTCCTTGTGGGGCCTCACCACAGGCCTCCTAATTTGAAATTTCTCAGTGAAACTTAGGCATTTGTCTCTCTTGATACTCATGGGTTGCCGTGGTGGACAGCCACTGATTTAATTCTTGGTCTGAAATGTGCGGTTCCTATACTTTTGGTTGCTATTGTAAGATTCGATAAGGTTAGTCTTAAAAATCCTTTGAGGGGGGCATCCAAGTTGGTAATTTGGAAGTCAAACTGTCTGTTTGCTGATGACATAATCATAAACCTTGAAAACCCTAAACACTCATCCAAAAAGCTCCTAGAACTGGTAAATGAATTCAGCAAAGTTTCAGGATACAAAATTAATGTATACAAATCAGTAGCTTTGCTATATACCAATAGCAACCAAGCTGAGAATCAAATCAAGAACTCAATCTCTTTTATAATAGTTGCAAAAAAATTAAAATACTTAGGAATATACTTAACCAAGGAGGTGAAATACCTCTACAATGAAAACTACAAAACACTGCTGAAAGAAATCATAGATAGCACAAATGGAAACACATCCCATGCTCATGCACAGGTAGAATCAACATTGTGAAAATGGCCATACTGCCTGTATTTAGTTTGTTTTCCTGTTCCTGATAAAGACATATCTGAGACTGGGAAGAAAAAGAGGTTTAATTGGACTTACAGTTCCACATGGCTGGGGAGGTCTCAGAATCATGGCAGGAGGTGAAAGGCACTTCTTCCATGGTGGTGGCAAGAGAAAATGAGGAAGATGCAAAAGTAGAAACCCCTGATAAAACCATCAAATCTCATGAGACTTATTCACTACCATGAGAACAGTATGGGGGAAACCACCTCAATGATTCAAATTATCTTCCACTGGGTCCCTCCCACAATATGTGGGAATTTTGGGAGTACAATTTAAGATGACATTTGGGTGGCAACACAGAACCAAACCATATAATTCCACCTCTGGCCCCTCGAAATCTCATATCCTTACATTTCAAAACAAATCATGCCTTCCCAATAGTCCCCCAAAGTCTTAACTCATTTCAGCATTAACCCAAAAGTCCACAGTCCAAAGTCTCATCTGAGACAAGGCAAGTCCCTTCCACTTACGAGCCTATAAAATCAAAAGCAAGCTGGTTACTTCCTACATGCAATGGGGGTACAGGTATTGGGTAAATACAGCCATTCCAAATGGGAGAAATTGGCCAAAGCCAAAACAAAGTGGTTACAGGGCCCATGCAAATCTGAAATCCAGTGAGGCAGTCAAAATTTAGAGCTCCAAAAATGATGTCTTTTGACTCCAGGTCTCACATCCAGGTCACACTGATGCAAGAAGTGGGTTCCCATGGTCTTGGGCAGCTCTGCCCCGTGGCTTTGCAGGGTACAGCCTCCTTCCTGGCTGTTTTCATGGGCTGGCATTGAGTGCCTGCAGCTTTTCTAGGCGAACGGTGCAAGCTGTTGGTGGATCTACCATTCTGGGGTCTGGAGGACTGTAGCCCTCTTTTCATAGCTCCACTAGGCAGTGCCCCAGTAGGGACTGTGTGGGGGTTCTGACCCCACGTTTCCCTTCTGCACTGCCCTAGCAAAGGTTCTCCATGAAGGCCCTGCCCCTGTAGCACACTTTTGCCTGGGCATCCAGGCATTTCCACACATCTTCTAAAATCTAGGCAGAGGTTTCCAAACCCCAGTTCTTGACTTCTGTGCACTTGCAGGCTCAACACCACGTGGAAGTTGTCAAAGCTTGGGGCTTGCAACCTCTGAAGTCATGGCCTGAGCTCTATGTTGGCCCCTTTTTGCCATGGCTGGAGTGGCTGGAATGCGGGGCTCCAAGTCCCTAGGCTGCACACAGCATGGGGACACTGGCCCTGGCCCACGAAACCATTTTCTCCTAGGTCTCCTGGCCTGTGATGGGAGGGGCTGCCATGAAGACCTCTGATATGCCCTGGAGACATTTTCCCCATTGTCTTAGGGATTAACATTCAGCTCCTTGTGACTTATGCAAATTTCTGCAGCCAGCTTGAATTTCTTCTGAGAAAATGGATTTTTCTTTTCTATCACATTATCAGGCTGCAAATTTTCTGAACTTTTATGCTCTGCCTCCCCTGTAAAACTAATGCCTTTAGCAGCACCCAAGTCACGTCTTGAATGCTTTGCTGCTTAGAAATTTCTTCTGCCAGATGCTCTAAATCACCTCTCTTAAGCTCAAAGTTCTACAGATCTCTAGGGCAGGGGCAAAATGCCACCAGTCTGTTTGCTAAAACATAACAAGAGTCACCTTTGCCCCGGTTCCCAACAAGTTCCTCATCTCCATCTGAGACGACCTCAGCCTGGACCTTACTGTCTATATTGTTATCAGGTTTTTGGTCAAAGCCATTCAACAAGTCTCTAGGAAGTTCCAAACGTTCCCACATTTTCCTGTCTTCTTCTGAGCCCTCCAAAGTGTTCCCACCTCTGCCTGTTACCAAGTTCCAAAGTCGCTTTTTGGGTATCTTTTCAGCAATGCCCCACTCTACTGGTACCAGTTTACTGTATTAGTTTGTTTTCACACTGCTGATAAAAGCATACCTGAGACTGGGAAGAAAAATCGAAGCTACAGTTCCGCATGGCTGGGGAGGCCTCAGAATCATGATGGGAGGCAAAAGGCACTTCTTACATGGGGACAGCAAGAGGAAATGAGGAAGATGCAAGAGCAGAAACCCCTGATAAAACCATCAGATCTCATGAGATTTATTCACTACCATGAGAACAGTATGGGGGAAACTGCCCCCACAATTCAAATTATCTTTCACTGGGTCCCTCACGCAACATGTGGGAATTATGGGAGTACAATTCAAGATGAGATTTGGGTGGGGACACAGAGTCAAACAATACCACCGCCAAAAGCAATCTACAAATTCAATGCAACTCTCATCAAGATAACACCACCGTTCTTCACAGAAATAGAAAAAACAATCCCAAAATTCATATGAAATCAAAAAAGAGCTTGTATAGCCAAACCAAGAGTAAGCAAAAAGAGCAAATCTGGAGGCATTACATTCCCCGACTTCAAACTATACTATAAAGTCAGTCACCAAAACAGCATGGTACTAGTATACAAATAGGCATGTAGACCAATGGAACAGAATAGAAAACCCAGAAATAAAGCCAAATACTTACAAGTCAACTGATGTTTGATAAAGTAAACAAAAATATAAAGTGGAGAAAGGACACCCTATTCAACAAATGGTGCTGGGATAAATGGCAAGCCACATGTAGAAGAATGAAGCTGTATCCTCATCTCTCCTCTATACAAAAATCAACTTCAGATAGATCAAAGACTTAAATCTAAGACCTGACACCATAAAAATTCTAGAAGATAATATTGGAAAAACCCTTCTAGGCATTGGGTTAGGCAAAGACTTCATGATCAAGAACCCAAAAGCAAATGCAACAAAAACAAAGATAAATAGATGAGATTTAATTAAACTAAAAAGCTTTTGCACAGCAAAAGATATAATCAGCAGAGTAAACAGACAACCCACAGAGTGGGAGAAAATCTTTGCAATCTATATATCCGACAAAGGACTATTATAATATCCAGAATCTACAAGGAACTCAAATAAATCAGCAAGAATAAAACAATCCCATAAGTAGGTGGGCTAAGGACATGAATAGACAATTCTCAAAAGAAGATATACAAATGGCCAAGAAACATATGAAAAAATGCTCGGCATCACTAATTATCAGGAAATGCAAATCAAAACCACAATGCAATACCACCTCACTCCTGCAAGAACAGCCATAATAAAAAAAAATTAAAAAAAATAGTTGTTGGCATGATGTGGTGAAAAGGGAACATTTTTACACAGTTGTTGGGAATGCAAACTAGTACAATCACGATGGAAAACAGTGTGGAGATTCCTTAAAGAACTAAAAATAGATTTACCATTTGATCAAGCAATCCTACTACTGGGTATTTACCCAGAGGAAAAGAAGTCATTATACAAAAAAGATAAGCTGGGCATGGTGGCTCATGCCTGTAATCTCAGCATTTTGGGAGGCCGAGGCAGGTGGATCACGAGGTCACGAGTTCAAGACCAGTCTGGCCAACATGGTGAAACCCTGTCTCTACTAAAAATACAAAAATTAGCTGGTGGCCCATGCCTGTAATCCTAGCTACTCGAGAGGCTGAGGCAGGAGAATTGCTTGAACCTGGCAGATGGAGGCTGTGATCTGAGATCGCACCACTGCACTCCAGCCTGGGTACCAGGTCAAGACTCTGTCTTGAAAAAAGAAAAAGAAAAAAAAGATACCTGCACATGCATGTTTATAGCAGCACAATTCGCAATTGCAAAGACATGGAATCAGCCCAGTTGGCCATCAATCAATGAGCGGATAAAGTAAATAAATACAGTATATATGTGTGTATATATATATGTACGCCATGGAATACTACTCAGCCATGAAAAGGAATGAAATAATGCCATTTGCAGCAACCTGGATGGAACTGGAGAACATTATTCTAAGTCAAGTAACTCAGGAATGGAAAACCAAACATCGTATGTTCTCACTTATAAGTGGGAGCTAAGCTATGAGGATGCAAAGGCATAAGAATGATACAATAAACTCTGGGGACTCAGAAAGGGTGGGGAGGTGAGGGATAAAAGACCACACATTGGGTATAGTGTACACTGCTCAGGTGATGGGTGCATTAATATCTCAGAAATCACCACTGAAGAACTTACTCATGTAACC